GAACAACAATTTGAAATCAATTACAGAGATTAAACAAAGCCATTAAACCAATATGTTTGCAGAACAACCCTGAAACTAATTTAAGAAATTTCAGTTCTCTTCCAAACCCTCTGTTCCTCTTCACCACTAAACCTAAGAATCCTATATAAATCCCTATGACATCCCCATGGTTCGTTTGCAGTAGATGAAATAAATTACAAAGTCTAAAGTTACAACAGAGCAACATGCTTAAAGAACTAAAAATTGAAACGAGACATGTAGAAATTGTAACAGTTTTGATTTCAACACAACCAGATCATTAATATAACATATATTAAACATGTAAATTCCAGTTACTGATTGATTAAACCCTAGAGATTATCTAGGTGCACAGAACACGAGCCAAAGGGAAGGAGAAAGTAGAAGAACTTGCCTGTAGCTTTGGTCTCAAAACTGTGTTGTCGTCTTCCTAATTTCCGGCAACCACTGACCACCTTCAAGCCTCCTATGGTTTTGGTTTAATCCACCACAACTCTCCCTTGGCCCTCTCTGTTCTCCTTCTAAGTTTTGTTCTGTTTTTCTCTCGTTCAATTCTCTCCAAACTCTCTGTATTTTCACTGTGTCGTGAATAGGGTTATCAAACCCTAGGGACGTATAAGTTATATATTTATAACTAACTCCAAAACCTAAGTCAATAAAAACCCTAAACGTAAATCCTAAGTAATTATGTCGGCAAGCCCATAAAAATACTAAAACCCTAAAAGATAATCATACACTTAATTTAATTAAACAGTTACGTCCATGTAAGAAAATAATTAATAATACAATTAAAGTAAGCATAGCAACCAAAAATACAATTAATTTAATTAAAATATACTTAACCAAATAAGGCATTTAAAATACAATTTAAAATAAAACAAACAAAATACAACAATTACAAAATCAATAGACAAAAATGCACATAAAATGAAATTTAAATTCCAATTTTATTCTTTTTAATTTTAGGGGTATTACAGTATTTCGCGATTCGATACAAAAACTGTCTATACATACCCAATCCAATGTGAATAAATCTTGTAACAATTAAATTCTATCGAAAGGTACGATAAATCTTCTCAAGGTTGCCATGCTCTCCAAACCCGAAATACCTGGTCAATGAGAGAAAAATTTATTTCCGACCCTTTTTATTTTCTGAAGGGAAAAATTAAGAGAATTTTGTAATTTCTCTCTGTATCACTATAAGTGCTTCCTTTTTTATTTTTGATGTTGGTATGGGTTTTGGAAATATAAAAAGGGATTCCCCACCTTTCCATTGTCGCAAGACGCCGTTGAGTGAAAAAAAATATGTTCGGCTCGCGAAAAAGCGCTGGTTCCGCTTTCCAGATTACTTGGAATGGTAGGGGTGTGAGTTGCGGGCGTGCTAGGAACTGCAATAGTTTCAAAGTAGAAAAATCTGAACGGTTATCCAGTTAGAAATTTGTAGGGATCAAGCGATTGTACGAAGGTCTGGAATGACCACCTTTGAAGGGTCTTTTTTGCCTTTGAACAAGAACTTCAAACTATTCTATGGCTAATGGAAATGAAGATGATATTGAAGGTACAAAGCTGGAAATTAAAGTAATTGAAAGTGCATGACTGGAAATTAGGATAATTGAAATGCATAACTGAAAATTAGAGACATGGAAATGCAGTGCTGCGCTAGAAGTAACGAAAGAGTATTGGACTTAATTCATCGCATGGAATGAGTGCTATATGGAATAGCAAAGTGCTGGACTCAACATAAAATAATATGTATTCATTGCTGGAATGGAAATACATGTACTAGCCAAATGCTAGGTTTAGACATAATGTAAATTCATTATTGAAATGAGAGATACATGAAAGCAAAGATGTTTGTGTTGATGTATTGTTTGGGTTGGGCAAGCAGACTTTGTATGTTAAGCATAAGTGCTCTATTTGTAGAGCTTTCCATGCATGCAGCAGCTTAGTGTAGCAGTTTCAGCAGCTTCTACATGGACTGACTCCGGACTACCACGTGTCTCATGTCTTCCAACCTTCTCTAAATGTTGCCAAGTGTAAAACCATATTCTCCCAGGATCTATAACTGACAATTAGTGGCCTTGGCAGTTGTATACATGTTGTTAAGTCTTCTCCCACGTTCTGGCACTATCCAGATAAAAAAGTAGCAGTACCAACAGCAGTTGAGAAATTCTACCTAGAAAGTCTGGATCATGCCACGTGTCCCATGTCTTCCTTAGTGTTCTCCTTCATGCCGTAGAATTCTCCCTCTTTCAGACACGATTTTATTATCCCTGTTTATCCATATTCTTCGACATCCACTTTAGTCAGTGGTAGTAGTTGCATGTAAGACCACCACTTTCAACTGATACATTCTATTTGGCCACTTACACCACGTTCTTTGTTCCATTTTCCTTTGTAGAATCTTACTTCTGTATAACTTCTATATATACATCATGCATATATATAGCAGTTTATTTGTAAACCCACATTCTCTTATTCTTTGGATGACTTCCTTATAATTGAAACTTTCCCCCGTTTGGCCTTAGCTTTCATGGCGTCGTGGCCCCTTCTTTCAGGGACTTCTTCATCGTAGGCTGTATCTCAGTGTATATATATATATATATATACACGCATATTTATATATATCCAGAAAATATATACTTGCCATTACCCAACTTCCCTCTTCTTTAGCAAACCACGTCTCTTTGAATTTTAGGTAACTTCCCTCAACCAAACTTTCCTTTATGGTCTTAGACTCCATAACGCCATGAACCCCTTAATTTCAGCGTCCTTCTCATCGTGGGTTGGCATCCTCAACTTCTATAACTTCCATTCTTCAGACTTTCCTTTCCAATTCAGAGTTTATGGCGTCGTGGCTCCTGAACTTCAGCGATTTTTCTCATTGTGGGTTTAATCTATATATATATATATAGATTAAACCCCACGCCTTGCTTATATATATATATATATATATATATATATATATATATATATATATAATAGGTTAAACCCCACGCCTTACTTAATTTTAGCAATGAAGTTTGACTAGGTTTAGACAACCCACTAAAGTTTCCTAAAAAGAAGGAGAAAATATAGCCTCCACGTTCTTCTTTTCTGGCTTAGTCAACTTTGTAAATTTTGGTAACTCTTCAAGAGTTTTGAAATACGTGATTTGCCCACAAAATTCACCTATTAAATCTTTAAAAGAAATAATATTTTATGGTAAGTTCCATAGAACTCGCCATGTGTCGAAAGCTAATTGGTTGAATTTATCTTGAATAATTGCATAAGATTGCATATATGATAGTATTTCCATAGAATAATTCTTTCATTCCAAATAGAAATGTTTAGGCCACCACTCTAAAGATGACAAGTCTTAATAGGACTCACCTATTTTCTTTTAGAATAGAAAACTCTATCTGGTAGGATTGTACTTACCCACTTTGATTGCTACGTAAAATTAAATATCTTTAATACTCCAATAATAATTTATTAGAGTTGCAATCTAGCGTTGTAAGTTTTATTGGAACTAGCCACATATGGCCTTTCCATTGTGTCAAAAATAATGGAGTAAACAAAATCAAGATGCCACACAATATTTCTTTTCTTAGTTGCAAGCGATACATCCCATTAAAATTGGGACCCAACGTAAAGAATTGGACTTCCAAGTCAACCTCCTACTTCTTGTTAATGAGGGTAGGGTAAGACAGAGGGTGTAATATTTACATGGTGCATTATCAACATGCCTGTAGTCTAGCGGTACAAGGCTCTTACCTTCCAAAGAGAGGTCAGGGGTTCGAATCTCAGTAGAGGCAATATGTGTGAGTCCCCAACTAGGAAAAATATATATATATATATTTATATGGTGCATTTATCACACAAAATATCATTAATAATTTAATATTTTTAATTTAAAGTTATTATATTAACAATTTAAAATTATTGCATTAGGAGATGATCCTAACTCATGATACACCAAAATTTTGAAAAGTAAAAGATAGTATAAAAACATGCCTTGTTGCAATTATTTAAAATTCAGTAAAGAAAAAAGAATAATTTTTAAAAGATTGTCCCTTAAAATTCTTTTATTTCTTGAAAATTATCTTTAAAAATTTGAACCAAGCTGACTGCTTTAAAAGAGTGTTCTATATCAAGTTCATGGGCTAGCGTTGTGAAAGTCATAAAGAATGTATGAAATGTCCCGTACCTATCAAAGGAATGGTACGAACGATGAGAATTGAAATGCTGATAGGAATAAATGGGTGTGTCAATTTTTTAGTAATGAAAACAAACAACCATATATGAATTCATTATTTATTAATGATAACAAAAGTCAGAGTAATATCTTGTAAATGTTTTACATAGTAAACTTTTTTCTTTCCAACTGTCTTTTGGTCAACTTAAATCTCTTAATTTGAAAATTATTTGGATGGTATCTCCAAATGCAAGTGCAGGGTTAAGTGATTAAAAGTGAAATAAATTTTTTATTTATGATCCCATGTATGTACATATATGTATTCATCTCATGAAATTACATAAACCTGTTTCATATAAGTTTAGAGAAAATATATCCAATTAGTGTGTAAACAGGACTCTTTTCACAGCCATTCATCATACATACAAAATTTCAGATGCGTTTTAATAATGACCCATTGTGTACTGCATGAATTTTTATTTATTTATTTGGTAAGGCAAAGAATGAACAAAATAATAGGAAAAGAAAAAGAGAAAAAGAAAAAGAAACAAAGGTTAAGGGGATCCAGCAAAAACAAGACACCAGCCCACAAGCAGGGGAACAAAAATCCAATAGGCCTTAACTAGAAGATTCCAATTCAAAGACCCAATATGGGCCCAAATCAACGAAATCGAAACAAAGGCAAAGACAAACTCCTCACAGTACAAAACACCACAAACACAAAATGGAGCGAATGAGCTAGGTATTCTGGATCAGGCCATTGTTGGAATGCAAAACAGAGCTTGGAAACAAAGCAATTCTTGAATAGAATGAAAAAGAAGGTACTATTATTTCACTCCTTCCATATGAAATACACACACACACGCACCCCTACTACTCAGTTAGGCATAGCTTCAAAAGCAAATTAGAGGTTGCATTAGTGCTCCATGATTTCTATATGATTACATTCATCCTCGATTTCGATGCCTAAAACCCATGCCCTAAAATTAAGTGAGCTTTTCGAACAACTGAACTCCCATATGTTAATGATGCTCTATATAATTTCACCAGGATAATTAAAAACACGTACAAACACACACAGGAAAAGATAATTTAGTTCTGCTAATCGGTCTGTTAATTCCCTTTTTAATGATTGTCTATCTATGTAAGAATTAAGAGCTAATAATCAGTGATATAAATGCAAAAGCCATGACAAATATATCTGAATTATCAGCGACAATCCTTAGCGGCCTTCTTCTACAGTGACCGTTAACTCATTAATGGATAGGGTTTCCGGTTTACTGGAAGAAGAAGAGGGTGTGGAAGAAAGCTTTCTCCTTGCAACGAAAGCTGGTTGTTTAGGATTTGGAAGTGTTGCACTTTCACTGCCCAGCATGAAAACTACATTTGACATGGTGGGACGATCACCAGGGTCTTCTTGTACGCATAATAATCCAACAATTATGCACTTCAACACTTCACTTCTGTTGCATGATTCCACCAGTGTTTGATCCATCAGATCCAGTGTCTTCTCTTCTCTCCATAATCTCCATGCCTGAGTTAGATTGTGTTGGAAATTGGAATCAGAAACTAAGTAAACAATAATGATCAATTTTTGTTGGGTTTGAGAGAGTTTTGATTAGCACTTACATAACCTAATAGGTTCGTGGCTTGTTTGGACTGATAAAATCCTGTGTTCCTTTTGCCACTGATAATTTCAAGTACAACAACTCCATAGCTAAAGACATCAGACTTAACTGAAAACAAACCATCTAATGCATACTCTGGGGACATATAACCACTGCATTATATCAAATGTTCAAAGCATTTAGTATTAAATATGTCTCGACCTTTTTCCACCAAAAGGTGATTTCATCTGTGCTGCAAAACTTAGTAAAATTAGCTTTGTTGCTCATACCAAGGCTGTTATACTTACTACGTTCCGACAACTTTGTTTGTGTTTGCTTCTGTTTCTTTGCCACCAACTATCCTTGCCAATCCAAAATCTGAAATTTTCGGGTTCATCTCCTCATCTAAGAGAATATTGCTTGTTTTCAAATCTCTATGAATAATCCTCAACCTCGAATCTTGGTGAAGATAAAGAAGTCCTCGAGCAATCCCCAAAATGATGTCAAAGCGTTTCTCCCAATCCAATAACAAGCACATGGTTCGATCTTGCAAGGTTTCCATTGCAAATCATAATTTAAGTAAAACTATCTTAATTTGGTTTCTATCAAGCAAAAATAGTAATAATATGCATGAACTAGAAGTATAGGAATATCAGTTTAGACGCTAACCAAATATGAAGGCATCTAAGCTTCTGTTGGGCATATATTCGTAGAGTAACATCTTTTCGTCTCCTCTGATGCAATAGCCTAAAAGTCTAACGAGATTTCTGTGTTGAAGTTTTGCAATTAACACAACTTCATTCTTAAATTCCTCTAAGCCTTGTCCTGAATGGCTTGACAACCTCTTCACAGCAATTTCCTGTCCTCCATGAAACTTACCCTGAAACACACCATCATTATGAAGCAATAGTTAAAAAAAACAAGAGAAATAACTTATTGACAAAAAGGATTATAACCTTGTAAACAGGTCCAAATCCCCCTTGTCCAAGCTTGTTTGCATCCGAGAAGTTGTCTGTAGCAGCAAGTATGCTTTCCAAATCAAAAAAAGGTACATCAATGGCTTGCTTATTGTCTTCTTCAAACTGTTTTGAGCCTATCAAGTCCTTGACTCGTCTTTCACTATCATACAAGTGAAGCACTGGATTTCCTTGGATGCTTTGCCTCATTTCTGAAGTCAAAAGATAACAACTTGTTATTGGGAATATTACCTGAAAATTCTGGTTCCTTAGTGAGAGACACATGGGGGGTATATTCGTGTATAATGTATATTTATTCATTGTTTAAAACTAGTTACCTTCTCTTTTCGATACAATATTTCTTCGGTATACAATGTAGCTAATGCTGCATAATATCAGTACAACCACAGGAATAACGATGACAAACATAATCACAGATTTCAAGGAAACCAACTTCTCTTTATGCTCAGTGTCGCCAACTCCTGGAATCAAAAAGGGTACTAATTTGTTACTTATATGTGGAGAGAGGAACCTGGTCATCTATCATTCTATTAGGAATGCCCAAAAAAGTTGGTAAGGAAAAACATGAGAAAATAAAATTCAAACTGAGGAAGGTTTTCATTTAATTTATCATTTTGGGTTTTGTCTGATTGACTAAACCAGTGGCTGATCGATTGTGTTAATATTGATATGCATAATGTAGCAACCTTACCTTGAGCACAATTTAAACTCCCGCCATCCCAGTGATGGTTTGCATTGCAATGACACCTCCCATTTTCTGTTGCATTGCAACTTGAATTAGGCCAATCTTTGCAGTCTTTATATGAATTACAGGTCGGCTCTTGTGGTGGATTCCAAGCAATCTCTATTTCACTCCCATTTGAATTATTAGAACCCGGATCAGTGTAGCACCAGCTAGTGACCTTAAAGGGAAGTGATGCATTGAGCTGTAGTCCATCTCCTGAATCACTTGCCTCACACCTCGCAGACTTTGATTGAATGACAAATGTGTGTGTATCTGGATTGATGCTAGTGACTTGGTAGCTGCTCCAGGGTGTGTTGAATTTAACCTGGCCTGTTGAAGAATCACAGTAGAAGCTGGAGTACGCGGAATCACCACAGGTCAGTCCAGTGCTTAGTGGATAGGGAATCAAGTATGTGCCACAAGCGTCACAGTTTCTGGATTTTGATCCTGCCAAATATATTATATTGGTAAATAGTTTTGAAAACTGAGCACTTTGTATAGTTAGGTTTTTTGGTTTTGTATTCAACCTTCAAAGACCAAAGTAGGCTATGCTTTGTATAGCATTTTAAATTAGAAACGATTCTAATTTTCACTACTTAAAAGGATTCATTCAATTCAAAGCAATTCAATTTTTCACTACCTCGTTAGGAAAAGACTAAATGAGTTTCTATTAAAATAAAATAAAAAAAAAAAAAAAAATTGCAATAAAAGATGTAAATCAATCTTAACAATGTATTTGGTTGCTAATGATTTAAAAACTTTATTATATAACTCTACTTTTGTACGCTTAAAATAAAATACTTAGGATTAGTGAGTGTGTATCTCCCTCTATATATATAGATCGTTGGATAAAATAAAATAAAAAAGTTTAGAAAATATTCTAGGTACATTTAAATTGTATGGTATAGATGATATGACCTACTGTTTATGGGTTATCATATCCCTCTAAATAAAATTTTGAGTTTGTGATCCAAGTACAAAATTCAGAAACAGATCGAGAGCATACCTATGTCGGAAGCCTTGACGCGCACATAAAAATAACTGCGAGAATCAATATACTCCTCCTCCGGTCTGTAACTGAGTTCCCCAATCGTGGTCGTCCACATCAAGCAAGCTCCCACCATCTTTTGAGCTTCAACATACGAATATACCAAGCATTGGCAATTGCGAAGGCACTCCCCTTTGCATTCTTCCTCGGAGCTAGCATTATCGAACTTGGAGTATGGCTTGTTTACTTTGATCATGCTCAATTTCAAGAATGTGTCGCTCCCAGTACATGTGGCTGACTTTCTAGTACACCCACCAGAAAAATCTCCAGAATTCCAATTATCAGGAAAGTTAGGCTTGAACCCTGGCAAGCACTTGCATACCAAACCGTTATTACTATTGCAGCTGCCAAAGTTCCCACAATAATTATACACACTGCATTCATCTCTCGGCTCTGACCATATCTGAGACCAATTCTTCTTATGATTATCCCATTTGAAGAATTGTATCAGCCCAGAATAATCCATCACCAACCGCGTATTATTATAATCCGACATTGATCCAAATGATATGTTACCAAGATCAATTGTTTTCTTAGTGGCAGGAGTAAGATTTGTATTTCTCGAATTGACAGCAGTACTAAAATTAGATAAGAGTAACCCTACAGGTGTAGGCATTTCATTGTACCCGAAGAATTCACCTGACGCTCCACTTTTCCAGTATGTGATTGACCTTTTCTGGATGTTGTAGAGGTAATCACCTCCCTTATCTTTCTCGAAGGTAAAGTTTCCGGTTCCCGGGTCATCACCACTTCTCCAAGAAGTCAACTTCAGGTTTTCATCCATCTTCATACCTGGAAGAAATGTATTGGTTGGATGATCGAAGCTTTGCCAAATGATCTTTCCAGATTGAGTATCACTTAATACCAAGTTCCCAGAATCCAAAAGCTTCACCATCCTGGAAGAAGACAGCTGAGAGCTTTGGACACCGGTTGAGAAGTAGGTCTTTTCATTTTCATCCACCAACACAAGGTTGCCATGCTTTCCAACCCTGAAGTACCCCTTCACTGATGCTGGCAGTGGTGTATCTCGATTGGCAACCCAAACAATTATTGTTGGTGCGCTATTCGAGTACCATATACCCACATATCTTCGGTCATCAGAAGTCAGGTTAAAGAAACCTAGTTGGAATCGTCCTCCCTCGGATATCAGAGTTTCGCCTTCCAACATCAAAGGACCTGTTATGTTATCTCTTGCAGCACATTGCAGCTGAAAAATGTGCAGTACAAGGAAAAATACATGGCAGATAAAAGCTTGTGATTTACAGGCCATGTACTCGATCATGTAGTGATAATTAACAGTTGCCTTGATCTCTGATATTTCTTCTTTTATCTTGGCCTTGGACTTGGATAAGTTTCGGTTGGCAGAGAACGATTGACTGTTGATTTACAGAAAACATGTGGTGGCAAAAAGACGTTCTGCTTGACCTTTCCGGGTTGGCTGCTTTTTATTTTTTTGATTTTTTCCGTGGGCTTTGGAAAGAAAAAGAGATGCAATTATCCTCCTTTTTAAAGTCGCAAGCCATCATTGAGGGAAAGATTAGCCATGAAGGTGGAAAACATATCCGTAGATGCCACACGTTTCTCTTGGTAGCTGTAAGAGACATCCAATTCATTATGGGGACCGTTGGGAGTAGTGGGAAGAAGACTTGGACTTGCAAGTCAACCTAGTGACTATTATTTACCTTTATTTTTATATTTTGTTGCCTGAGTGAACATTTTATTTCAACTAAAAACAAAATACTAGAGAAAGGCCAGAGCCGCCACACAACTGCACAACATTCCTTAACAATAGACCATTTCTAAAAGAGGTACAAAAAAACTTCGGAAAAAAAAAAAAAAAAAAAAAAGAGGAGGAAAGCCATATTTACTCCACCACACCTCCTTTGCCAGACACAAACACCATCTAATCTCATGGCACCACAAACAGCAGGACCAAATCTCAACAATTAAGAAATCTTCCATTTCTAGACCATTCGATAAGTCTGGTAGTTTGTGGTGCCATGAGATTAGATGGTGTTTGTGTCTGGCAAAGGAGGTGTATGTCTTTTATACCAATTGTAACGGATCGGGTGTTTTGCGATTCGACCCAAAAGTTTAAGCTATTAAGTGAAGCTAGCACCCCAATTTATATATACACCCATTCACTTTTCCATCCAGATCCAATTTGCACTGTGACATAAGTCCATATCTTCTTAGCAAATTCAAAACTGAAGAATAAATGGTCCACCAAATTTTCATTTCTAAAGCAATTATGGTAGACAGGCAGTACGCACCAAACATATCCTCTTTTTTGCAAGCTTGACAAGGTGAGAATACCGTTCTTACTGAGCAATACATGTTGAGATGATTTAATTGAAACCAATTCATTAGGGCATCTAACTACATCAAGCAATAGATATATAAGCCTATTAGAGTGTTTCTCAA